TTGTGGTTTCAGTCTTTTTATGAAGGTCAACGGGTCAAAACCTGAATGTTCACACACATGTTCTCGATTAGAAAAGGTCAGTAAGGGTCAAAAACCACCTGTCCATTTGATAGATCGATAGGTCAAAGGTTAATCGATATTCCAGAGATGGAATGCAAAAGGTCAAAGGTTTATGACTACTTCAAAGATGGAATCCGGAAGGGCAAAGGTCAGCCCCGCCCCCTGTCCAGCAAAAAGCAATAAATCATTTTGACACAAGCTGCCGGGTTAGAACTACTTCCGATCGACCAAAACGGATCTGAACAGCAGGTGTAAACAGGGCCTGAGCATCTGCAGATGATCTGACCGAAAATATGTCACTCCTGATCTCACTCCACTGGCTCAATCCAGAATCAAATTGTAAAGTTTTGACACTGGCTTTCAGAACTTCCACTGGAAAAGCACCTCCCAACCTCAATACACAAACATACACTCCCGTCAAATGAGTGATGCCTATGTCGCTACTTCACAATGAGGCTAAAAGTTACTCTCCAAAAGTTTCACCCTCTCTGTTCCTCTGAAATGAGCTGCCAACCTCTATCCAAACTGCTGAGACCATCACATCTTTCAAGAAGCAGCTGAAGACACACCTCTTCCACAAGCACTCAACCACCCCCTTAATCCAACACACACACTCTCTCTGGCTTGCTTCCTTATATTGTCATCAAATAAACTTGCCGTTGTATATTACGAATATTGTTGCCTCCTTAATGAATTGCTTTTGTTCTTCTCTTGTAAAGCGCCTTGGATAAAAAGCATCCGCTAAATGCATGAATGTAAATATTTTTGTTCTAAATGAAATTCTTTTTACAGAATATTTTCCCAAAAACATTCCTCCTGCTCACTCTTTGTTGGCCAAAACAGTTCCCGAACTGATCACAAAGGTCTTAGTAATTAGAGGAAAATGTTTAAGACAGCCAAAATGCTTTGCTTCCAACTCTAATTAAACTGTCAATTTGTGTTCTGATAGACCGGTAAGGGAGAATCTCATCCAAAAGTGTAATGTTTCACTCGGTGCATGCTAAATTTGGTGTAAAAATGATAATCGTGCCTGGCTCGGAGTGTTCCAGTTTTTCCTCTCTTTCTCCTTGCTTTATGTTCCAGCATTAATTTGATTGCCTCATTTACAGCCAGCGCCAGTGCTGTTGCCAAGGATACAGGAAACATTTTTATTTGTCTGTTTGTGTCCAATCTTTGTATAAAGATGGCATTGAAGCGTTGAAAAACTACAAACATATGACACAATTGCTGGGGACATAAATTCATGGCAATCATCAATGACAGAATTATTGGCACATTAAACACTCTGAGCAAGAAAAAGGGGCAAAAATGATTGAAGCAAATTGTTTTAATATTCACAGCAGTGCTTTGCATAATGAGATATACACAAAGGACTGACCTTTACTTTTAGGTTTGTCATATTAAAAGAGGGAGAATTGCATATTAAAATCAATGCACTGCCTAGAACAAATTAATATGTGCATAAAATCCAATAATACAATCATTACTTGCTTGGCACTGTGACATTCAACATACGTCACGGTTATAACCAAAGATGTCATATCACACTATCAGGTTATTGCATGCATTTCTGCCTAAATAATTTTGGTAATGTCCTGTCCAGAAATGTGTTCCTTATAATGCCCATGCACTGCTCTCATTGAGAACACATTTTAGAGCAGCCACAACCAATGATATATGGATTATGATCTGTCAGGTTATAATTCACTTGGAGAGCACGTGTGCTGGTGGTTTATCTCATGGGTTGAGAGTTAACCTTGTCCTCCTCAGTCCCATCCTTTACCATCTTTCCAGCAAACAAAGATGGTTAAAGATGTTACAAAGTTGTGTCATCATCTCTCAGATAAAGAGGGAAAAAAGCTTTAATTCTGTTAAATTAGGTAGGTGTTATATGGAAATGTGTGTGTGGGCTGGTAAACCATACATTATGGGGTCCAAAAGATTGCAATATCCGAAATCCTTGTTCTTGTGGGGACTTTTTTTTGGTCCCCATATAAGGAAAACAGCTTATAATTCATTCTAAGTGCTTTTTTAAGTAGCCTAAAAATACAGAAAGTTGTCTGTGATGGGTAGGCTAGGTTTAGGGGTAGATTAGGCTATTCAGTTTATACCGTAATAAAAATAATATTAAATGTTTTATTAAATATAAAATAAAAATATGTTAATATAAAACAGACCTTTATGAATACATTATGAAGAAAAAAAGTAATATATGTACAATGATGGTCTTTGTTTTCCTATAGACCAAATGTTTAGGTGTGTGTGTGTGTGTGAGTGTGTGATTTTCCCAAATACAAATATGAAAATGCGAAATACAATATTAAGCGTTATACACAAAACAAGTCCTATAACGACAAAGCATAAAACACATAACAAGACAAAGAAATATACAATACATTTTATTAAAATAAGGTGATAAATAAGGTATAAAATAACAATAGGCTAATATAAAACAAACCTTTATGAATACAATGAAGAACAACCTAACAATGGTCTCTGATTATGATGACTAGTTGGTTTTTGAGAGTCTGCAGCAGAAAAGTTCATTTTTCGCTGCAATTGATGGGTAACAGTCCTAATATGCCCAGTCTGACTGTAAGTCACAAGACAGCTGCGAAGCTTTTACGATACTTAAGGTAGATTGAAAATAGCAGTGTAATACGCAGACCAATAGCCGCGTTTCCACTGCCGGGCCAGGGCCGGGCCGTGCTAGTGCGTGCCAGGGCCAGTCGCGTTTCCACTGTCACTTCCGGGGCTTGATCGGGGCTTCCTCAGGGCCAACGGCCAGGATTTCTGGCCCGTCGAATACCTTGGGCCAGAGGGGGCCAGCTCGGGCTAGAGGCGTGTTCAAGGTAAAGGCGGAGTTTATCGGTGTTAAGGAACGTTATGATCTGAAGCAAGATGCACAGGGGTGTCCATGTTTAACCGATTAACCGTTTAAAATTGCATAACATTTTAATTTGAACTGTAGGCCTATGCCAAATGCTGCGCAACAAAGGCTATATATAGCTACATATCGACGAATTTTCAGATATTTGTTTGATTTTTTTGCCCCTTAAACATTTAAAATATTTGACAAATTAATATGAAAAAAAATATATATTTTACTGGTTTTCTGAGGCCAAATTAGAACCTGGAAATGATATTTTCCCCGCAGTGCTGAATGAGAAGAGCCGTAACCACAGCCTACAGAAAGGGATTTATGGGTGATTTATAGGCTATAATAAATGTGTCTGATAATAAAATAATATAAAATAACGAGGCATTAATTGTTTATTAATAAACTATTGTTTTCTAAATGATTTTCGGCTAAATCATCGGCGGATCTCCATCTCCGGATGCACATTTAGAGAGAAATTAAGCTACATAAACATAGGAGATATTGGCTTTCGATTTGAATTTGTTCGTTTTTAATTGGACATTTAAAGCTTTAATCTACAAAGGATATAACCCCTGTAGACTAAAGCTTTAAATGTCCAATTTAAAACGAACAAATTCGAATGCGGTGGCTGTTTCAGGTCTCGCGCTTCAGTTCACGGAGATCATGAAGCGCGCCTTGATTAATTGTTAAAGCACAACGTTTTCTTGTTATAAATAAATGTATTTGCGAATAATGTATTATTATTTTCTGTATGACCAGAAATTAAAGAGTATTTTAAGTTGTTTCCACTGAAAGAAATGCAATGAAACTGTTCACATGGGCGTCTCGCAGCCATCAGTGCGTGCTCCACACACACTGGATATGCGCTGATATTTGTCAAAAATATTGTGTTTATTTGTGCTCTGTTCCTTTTTTGGATAAAGACGTCTTCTACATATGCAGCCTAATAAAATGTTACAATAATGATGATGATGGTTATTATTATTATTATTATTTGCAGACACGGAGTTTTTGTGAAATGGACGTTTTGCTTATTTTTAATTGGCAATTTCAGTTTAAAGGGTGATGGAAATATGGGCTTTAACTGCTCCGTACTTGCTGCGTTTTATTTCTATAAATTAATTTCGTTTCAAATGGGGTCCAATCAGTTATTAAAGGTGTTAAAAATTTACTCTGTATCTCGAGGTTGCGGCGCGCACACTATGCACCGAGTATAGTATATATATATATATAACCGATGGGCCTCGGTTAACGATTAATGAATAACTTGAAAACGTGCCCGCAGTCCCTACTTGTTATATCGCGCAAAAAATCGCTGCTTGAAATGGAGAATCGCCTGTACTGGTCTCGGGACACTATTGCAGCCACTACGGCAGTTGAGTTAATATACATGCTATCTTCCTAATTTAAAAAATAAATTTTAATTCATAATACCCGCTGAAATGGGTTGGGTTTTGTGACGTTTGATCCTGAAAGGCGTGTTAGGGGTGGGGTCTGGGGCAGAGCTGTGGGGCTACTGGCCCGGCAGTGGAAACGCAAGCCCGGTGCTTGAGGCCCGAGGCCACTAGCTCGGCCCGGCTCGCTGTTAGCTCTGGCCCAGCCCTAGCCCGGCAGTGGAAACGCGGCTAGTCTGTTGTTGAACGGCTGGCGGAGGAGATTGTGGGTGTGGCGAAATCGCAGGCAGTGCCCAGCCAGGCAAAATTAAGGTCTGTCCCAGCGGTCAACTGTGCTGTTTATCTTTATCAGGAATCCGTTTTTTTATTATACGGTTTTGCAATATTTGTATTTTTTATTTTATTTTTTATTTTTATATTATTTTTTTGGGAGGGGGTTGCTTTCGAAATACAATGCGTAATTCTAATCTCACATGTCTCCAATTATAGTTTAATACAACCAAATAATTAAACTGATGTACGCAAAACACAAAGCTTTCTCAATCATAATCTCACATTTAAAACTAGTTTAATAACGCTATATAATTTTCATATTATTGAGGGGTGTTTATTTTATTTAAAAAGAAAAATAATGGAAGGAGGCTCCACGAGACTGCTAGCTGCTACCTCATTTTCGCGTGGAAAGTCTCCGCCCTACTGCTAGTCTGAGGCCGTCGGCTTCCTCTGAAGCGCTTGGCTGGCCATAAGCTGCTAAATATTTATTCTATTGCTTTATATTTAATACAGACCACGGGAAAATAGATATTATTCTAGGACAGAACTAAGATTGCGGAGTGGAGAGGTCGGGGAATACCCTGCTGCCTGATTTGCGTCGGCGCTGTGGCACATTTGTTCAGCACTTTAGCTTCAGAAGCTAACTTAGCGGTTGGTGAGAGTGGAAGCATCGGCACGAGTAAGAAGAACCTCTCATTCGCCCATTATAACACACCTCAGCACCTAGTTATGCATGAACTGACGGTTATACTCTCCGTTCGCGCTTTAGATAGCTGGAGTGCGCTTATAATTTGTTAAAAGTGTTCATTTTGCAGAGTGAAAGTGCATGGCGTGTGGCCGCGCGCGGTGGGGGATGGGCGCTCAGGTTCCTCGCGCTGTGTCTGCAGTGCACGCGAGATGGACGTTGACAACAACTAGCTTGTATTTAACCGACTAGTTAGCTACGTTGCTATGGAAGCAGCCACGTGCTGGAACTAGAATCGCTCATTTTTGCACTTGTTTGGGGAGTCTTGTTGTTTCCGGTGACGTTTGCCCACGACGATGCGCATTTAGCATAGACGGGCATTTAACCGTGAGCTCAAAATCGAATGACATGTAATTGCGCTTCCGGTAGAATGTTAGCGTGACAGATGTTCAGATTATATTTTTTTGCGATGTAAATATGGTCATTACATTAGGCATTTAATTGCGTTAATTAAATAGCTTGCTATACGTATTCTGAAAAGGTAATTGTGTATTTTACTGGTAAAGACGTGAGTGCACCAAACGTAATAAAATATTTTTTTTATATAACGTTAATTCTTAAAAAAAATTTAATTAATTAATTATTTTAATTACTTTTTTTTTTTTTTATGAACGTTCCATTAAGATTTTTACAGACTTTTTTTTTACTTATTTAAAATGAATTCATGATAATATGTAAATCAATTGAATGGAATTTTACTGTTAATTGAATTGCGTAAATCTTGAAAAAAGTCTTAATTTTCTTTTGTGAGTGTAGACAAATTTAATACATCTATTGAACAGAATGAACCTAAGTCAATTACAAAATTACGCATAGTTTAACCATAAAGATGTTTAGCAGATATATTTTTATGTCACTGAAGTGATGTGTTATGTTACTCTATTTAAGTGTGCACGACTTTTAGTTGATCGCATAATTTCATGATAGCTGATAAAGTGTTAAAAGTGTGTCCTCAGTAAGAGATGCTTTGTAACAGATGTACTTGTCTAGGTCTTTCTTTATACACTGCACGACTACTTTAAATCCGAACAGAGTTTGTATAAAATATACAAAAAGAACATTAGCTTGTGAGAGCGTCATTGTCCACTATGATTGGACGAGAAGACAAAGATGGAAGACTTGCGTAACCCAAGGTTCACGTTCTCCTCACAATCATGATGATAGACGTAGGATCCACAGCTACAATAAGTATAGAAGCTCTATGATTACAACGACCGTCATTTGAAGTGTCACAAAATTCTGAAATTATCGTACATTATGGGATTTTTTTCATTATTGATCGTCAAAATTATCGTACGTCTGGCAACACTGGGCATTATACACTTGCTGACTCTGTAAATGGTTACATAGAAAAAAAAAACTGGGTCATTGTACAGTACTCTAAACCAGGGGTTTTCAAACTGGGATCGGGGACACCCTTGGCCCCAAGAAGGAGAAGTTAAACGTGCAAATAAATAATAAAATAAGATTAGATTTTAGAATAAAATGCACATCATCATCATCATGTGTAGATGTTGCATGACAGTAGTGTCATTTTAGAAAGATCATGGCCTTTCAGAGCATTAATAATTAATGACTGTGATTAGGGTACTCTTTCTCAAATTGTATGGTCTACTTTCTGCTTGTGCTTGAAACATGACTAGGATAGTTGTGGTGCAGGAATGTTAAAGTTATTACCAAACCTGGAAAGTTGCCACATTTCTAGGGCAATTTTTAAAAAAAAAAAACATTTATTTTACACTTGTATTCTGTTAAACTATTTACTAATTTTAGAGGGGGGAGGCTGACTGTAAATCTGATTATAACTAATGCAATGTTTTCTTGATAGGCAGCTTTGGCAGTGCTCCCATGGATGGCAAGAGAATGAACATCTAAATATCACTTGGTATCATGGTGAGTCAGTGCCACATCCTTCTAAATCATCAATGTCTTAAATTTGACCCACGTGAAATGCGAGCGCAACAGTCTGGGACATGTTTACTTTGAAAAACAATGGAAAAGTTGGAAACTTCACGTCTTCTAATTGTGAATGTACTGGATTGTGTGATTTATTATGAGTGTAGGATAAGATAATTTAGTGTTAAGGCATTTAGCCAGTCTGATCTTACACTCCTTAAGAGTTATTTCATTAAGTTGTATAAGCCTGTTTTATTTAATTGTGAATTGGCAACCTGTTGACACTCATAAACAACAGTGATTCTTATCATATGATGGGTTGCTGCTATACGTGAAGGCTGACTGTGCAGGGACTAAAAAATGGCCATGGCCTAAAATTAATTTATTTCTTAATAATCTTAATTAATTTTTGCAGTAATGAATCTTAGCTACTGCACAAATAATATTACCACATCTAAATGAAAATAGGCTACACCATTACAAATGTAACTTCTGTATTCAAAATCTTCAAAGTTTGTAAGCATTAACTGTAACGTTACCAACATTTTTAAAAGCACAACATATGTCGTAATATTAGCTACTGCATGTGGCACTTTACAGCTAAAATGTTGGAGTTTAGGTGTTTTAACTACTGTAATCGTTAAAAATGTTGCAAGCTGAATATCACTTCCTAACATTATCCCTATAAGTAACTTGTAAAGTAATTTCTGATTAATTCGGTTTTCGGGAGTAGTAGAGATAAAAACCCATCCACACTGACGGTTGATTGGTTGGGTCCTTACATGTGCTTCGTGAGGCACACTAGCGCACACACGCAAGGTCTCTCGCTTGCACTAGATTTCCGGGAGAATTTAACTAATTTGCGGGCATCAGGGAGCCGCTGTCAATATGTGCGAGACTTCCGGGACACTTGGGATGTCTGTGACTGCGTGTGTGGCGAGTGGCGAGCCGTCCTGGAGTATCCGCCGTTCTGCCATTCTCCAGATCACACAGATGGCCAGTCCGCCCCTGAGACTGTTAAGAAGGCTTAAAGACCGAAATAAGCAGCTGAATGAATGAGTACACCTTAAGGCTGCAACAAACGATTCTTTTGATAATCGATTAATCTAACGATTATCAGAACGGTTAATCGACTAATCGGCGATTATTTCGTCGGCTAGTTTGGAAATATTATTCAGCTTTTTCAATTAGTTAAAACATTGAGTTATACATATTCTTAATGTAATATAAAAAAAAAAAATCAATCCAGCGTTTGATATAGTTTTTTTAATGAACTTTGAGCCAACTAAACAGGTCATTCTCTTTAAGTTTAACTCAAATCACACACAAAGGCTCTCTAAGCATTGTTTAATAGGACCACTCCTTTTCTTGGAACTGAAACAGGAAAGGGGTCATTTACTTCAGGACACAAAAATGGTAAAAAATTAATCTGCGAACGATTATTATAAATATAAAATTACAATCTTTTTTTTAAATGACAATTGAGCTGACAGAGACGATCTCATTCACCTTTTAATTTACGGTATGAAAAAGAAAAAGTAACTGCCATGATATCCTTCCTAACATCTCCTTTTGTAAGTCTTCATGATTGTGGAACAAAATACAGGCAAGTGATAAGACTACTTACTATAATAAAACAGCCCTGACTCTTAAGCTCGATCAACCTTTTTTCTATGCAAAATAAATCATCACATTACTGTAATTATGTTATTATTGAGAATATTGTTAGTAGTATTGCATTATCTAATAAAGATGTTTCCTCTTTAAGTGCTCCAACATGCATGTTGTGCTCCCGTGAAAAGCAAGTTCCGCCTTGCATGTATTGCACATGACAGCATTGTTGGTTTTAAGTTTTGTGAAACTTTCCCAAACCTTGCTAGTTCAGAATCGGATTCGTTTAAACTCCGTCATAATTCACGCTGTTTTTTTTTCTTCATTTTACCGCAATAGCATTTGTAAAGGGTTGCATTACACTCTAACGCTACAGCGTGTAGCGGTCAAATCCCAATATTACACTGCACGCCCTTATTAGGTCACGTGAGATCAAACGACAACTCGACAACAACGATTTGTCAACTAATTGTTTTACCCCTAAAACACCTGGATCATTTCCTCTGGTTCAACACTAACTTTAACTCTTGTTTCCCATCACAACATCAGTCCCTACAGTGTAGCTTCTTAACCGTTCTTTCCAGCGGTGAGCAAACGGATGGAAAATTCCCCCAGGGCTCAAAGGGGCTTCTGTGAGAAAGTTCAGTCAAGATGATTAGGATCAGTTTTCTCTTTGCTTAAAAAGATATTGTTTAAGGAGACCAAGAGCAGGTCTGTGCTGCCCTTGTGGTCTTGTGTGGGTCCTAACACCCCAGTACAGTGATGGGGACACTATACTGTCAAAAAAGCAGTCCTTCAGATGAGACGTTAAACTGAGGTCCTGACTCTCTGTGGTCATTACTGCAAATGTACCGTATGAAGCAGCTTCACAAACAGTCCTTTCAACCACACAGCATCATTATTATATTCATTAAAATAACGGGATACGAGTTTATAGTTTAGGTATAAACATTTTGACAGTTGAGTATTAAGTGCTTATCGGTACGACAGGAGGTAGCGACTTGTGTTACTTAGGTGGCGACTAAGTTATGAGTCTTAAGTCTTTATGATTGTAGAAGAATCGCAGTCTTCATTTTACACAAAACAATTGTTATATATATATATATATATATAGCTTTTTACCTTACCAAAACAGTTAAAAAGCAGCAGGTCAAATTAAATTCACAAATTTATATATGATAAATAAAAACAAAAACATTTTTGTTTGCATTCCATCCAGAAAGTAGACAACGTTACATGCAATGAATTTAAGTAATGTGCATCGATTATTTTGTTAATAAATGACTGTACAATTGTTGTTGTTTTTTTATTGTTTTAGAATTTAATTTTCTTCTTATTGATGTACTAAATGAAACAGTTGTGCTGCCTAATATTTTTTTGGAAACCATGATACATTTTTATTTCAAGGTAGAACACAGTTCAGAAGCATTTACTATACTGTAATTTTTTTGCAATGGTTTTTGTCACTTTTGGTGAATTTAATTAATTCTTTCTGAATGAAAGTAATTTCTTCCTTTTGAACAGTGGTGTATACTGTGTCCAGAGTTGTTCTGATGCTCTATATGCTGTTTGTGAAGAACATTATCAGAAAACATGTCTTTGTTATTCCAGGCTCCACTCTCGCCCTGACCTCTTGGTTTACCCAGGATCCAAAATGAGCGTTAGCAGTGATGAGGTCAATTTCCTGGTGTACAGATACCTGCAAGAGTCAGGTGTGTATGTGCATCGAGCCTCTTCACTTCAGTTAACAGCTCTGTGTAATATCCTGTTTCATATCGCATGCAGGGGTAGTTTTTTTTTTTTTTTTTTTTTTTTGTCCTGCCATGTTTATTTCCAAAGAACTAATTAATGGTTTAACCACCTAACAACCGGCCAGTGCACCTTAAAAATAGGACAATATCAACTCCCTGGCAGCATCTTGACAGCGTGTTTTAGGAAATATCATCCACGTTCTCTTCTGGAAATGCAAAAATGTAGTGTTAGTGTAGTGTGGTTTAATTACCAAATGTCAGTTGTCAAAACTAATACCAGTGCCATTTATAAAAAAACATTTATTTAAACTATTTAACATGCACAAATACGCATTTGATTGTGTTATTGTAATATAATTTATATACTAATATAGTTTTATTAGTATTTTTTTATTATTTACTATATTTTTTTAGTGTCTGTGTTAGTTTATATAATTTTTTATTTATTAGTTTTAGGTAATTTAGTTACTTTTTGCAACTTGCTGTTTTGGTTTGTTTTAAACTTTTATGGTTTTATTTATCGGTAATGGGTAAATCTCTCCATATTCTAGCTTTTACTATCCTAAATGATGGCTGAAACTTTGTATTAGAGATATTTCACCTGAATTCAAATGCTTCCTTTACTGGATCTCTTAACACTGTCGCTTGATAAAGATCGGCTCGTGCTGCATTGGTCCAGACTGATAAATAATTCGTGAAGTACTCGTGAAGTAATAATTTCATTCTGCTTTCATCACGTTTGCCATTTGATGTTGGGCAACGTTGTGGTGGTCGCGCCTGCACCGTCAGGAAAAATGGTCCAACAAATCTTTCGGTTTTAATGCGGTTCAATACAAATATGTGTATCGTTACACCCCTAGGACAATACAAACCTCTTAAACTGTAAGAGATATTGGGCTGTCAATGCAGTGACACATCCGAACACGAGAGCAACGCAACCTGGCTGTTAAGATCTTATTGGTTGTTTGCTTGTCAATGGTAACACGCTGATTTATCAAAACATCTGATAATTATCGGATATGTAACATTTTTACGATGTATTTGTTGACTTAGTACCAATACTTTTGCCCTCACTATCCAAAAATACTTGTTCCTAAATGGTATCAAGAACAGTCTTCTTTTCCCCTGCAGGCTTCTCCCACTCGGCGTTCACCTTTGGCATAGAGAGCCACATCAGCCAGTCCAACATCAACGGCGCTCTGGTGCCCCCTGCTGCCCTCATCTCCATCATCCAGAAAGGCCTGCAGTATGTGGAGGCTGAAGTCAGCATCAATGAGGTCAGCACTGGTATCAGTACAACATTTCTCAGCTTCCCCGTTACACATACGAGATGATGCTCGATCTGACATGATTTTGATCTCAGGACGGCACGCTGTTCGATGGGCGGCCGATCGAGTCGCTGTCGTTGATTGATGCTGTGATGCCAGACGTGGTGCAGACGAGGCAGCAGGTTTATAAGGATAAGCTGGCTCAACAACAAGCTGCTGCCGCCTCCAGCGGCACGACGGCCTCTGCCGCCAAGAACGGAGAGAACACGGCTAATGGAGAGGAGAACGGGTCCCACACGCTGTCTAGTAAGCTCACAGCCTGCATAGTACCGTCACAACACTACATAACTGTCATAGAGAAATACCATTAAGACGGTAAAACAGCTCGATCTGTGACTTTGAGGCCACAAAAATAAACTGGGTAACACTTTTTTCGATAGACATATTGCTAACTACATGTCACCTACCAGTCATTTGTATGACTGTCTGCTTAATATCTGCTACACTTTATTTTGATGATTCCCCAAAATACATTCAACTGACTATTAAGTAACTTTACAAATTGTCACTTTACAATTGCGTTGTCAACTTATTCTAACCCTACCAGTCTACCGATTCTAACCCTACTCTATTGAGAGTTAGTTGACATGTAGTTGCAAAGTTACTTCTAGTTAGTTTGGTGTCTAAAGTGGACTATCACAATAAAGTGTTATCATAAATTACACTGTTCAAACTTTAGGAGTCAGTTTTGGGGTTTGGCATCAGTGATGCGCGGGTCAATGTATAAACAACCCGCAACCGACCGACGTTTTCAACTACCCGCCCGCAACTCGGACCGCAAAAAAAAAGTAAAAAAATATTGTACCCGACCCGCTTCCTGACCGCATTTTTTAAAAGTAGTAAATGCTCATCGGAGCGTTATTGGGCCATAGACGTGTAACAACACAGCATCACAAGAAGACGTAGGCCTACACATAACAAAGGCAAAGCCAGTCATCATCTTTCATTATTTCAGCAAATGTCTCCCACACTTTTACTCTTTCTATTTGTGTATTTGCGGAGCTTCCACTCCCCAGTCTTCACCTTTTCTCTTGCCGCCTCCATCTCTCTGCAGACTGTAGTGATCATAGACACGGCCGGTTCGTGAACGAATCGTTCTTTTGAACCGGCTCTTTTTAGTACACTAAATCGAACTGAATCGTTCGAAACAGTTCGCGTCTTGCGTCAGTGCAGATCCACAAGTTACTAAAGTTACTCACTTTCAGACATGCCTGACAGTCCCTCCGAATCGAAATAAATCAATATCCTGAATTATATTTTACTCCAGTAACTCCAACAGTTCACTGAACCGAGACATGTTGGTGCCACTGTTGAGAGAAGTGATGAGCACGAGCAGCTGATACTGCGTTTACCGAACGCACAGGGACAGCGGTTCTCGAATCACCAGTACAGAACCGAGAACTGTTTAGACTGAGCTTGTGTGTTATCTTCGTGCCAGTTATTCAGCCAATAATGTGTAGGGTGTATATTTCATCAAAAATTGTGTCTAGTACTATATTAATACAAATGTTTAATTGACATCTTTTTTCAAACGACCCGACCGACCGCGACCCGAATATCATTAAAAACATTTTTGGATGACCCGTAACTGCGGGTAACCGCGGGTGACCGCAGGCACCGGCTCATTTCGGATCAACCCGCGCATCACTGTTTGGCATTAATCCTGGATTTTCATGTTTTGAGGTTTCAAATGTTAATGTTCTTTGCATATTTGCTGTGTCAATATCATTGATTGGAGGAACACCGCATATGACCTTATTAAATTAACATCTTGTTTATATTCCTGACTGCACCATCAGGTTATCAGTTTCTGAGTTATTTTAGTAGTCTTTTATTTTATTTTATTTTTCATATTTTGATTTAGCTTTTATTTTATTTCAGGTAGTTGCCAAGAAAACATTTGTAAATAAGAATGGGTTTTTAATCTAACATTTGTATTGTGCTTTATTTCAGTTTTTTTTTTTTTATTAATTAAAGAGAACTATTTTGGTAGATTTAGTTAACAGTAACTACACTGACCGGAATAAAACGGTCTCTTCACTCCAGTTATCACATTTAGATTTGTCCCTTGAACGCTGAAATGAAATACTGGGGGTGAAAGAGTCTGTGACTATACGAACTGGCTGTTACAATCTAAACCTCGATACATTTGGAAACACAAGGTTTTTAAGAAGACTATAACATGGGGTTAAACAGACAACGTTGTTCCAACCATGTGTAACTTACTTTCTCTTGTGGAACACAAAAAGCTGCTCGTTTACATAAATTAATGATGCGTATTGGCAGAGGTGGGAGACTCGAGTCATATGACTTGACTCGAGTCAGACTCAAGTCACAATTTTCTGGGTTTGAGACTTTATTGACTAGATCTCTGAAAATACTCGACTTGACTTGACTTGCTCCTTGTGACTTTAGACTTGACTCGGACTTGTGCCTATTTACTTGAAATGACTTGTTGAAAAAAAAATCAATTATTGTGATTGTGATTTTTTTTTTTTTTTTTTTTTTGTATGTCATTAGAGGGAGCACGGGTGGTAAAGCACTCTGTGTGTGCGGGTTGAGCGATGTAGCCAATCACAGATGTGTGTTGTTTTCTTGAACGCAATGGCCAATCAGAAGCATTTACAATAGACTTCCCTCACCACTCAAAAAGGACTTTCTGTTCAGTGCTGAATTCTGTATGTTGGCAAATCCTCTAGTTATATCAAAGAAAGTCTATATATTATGAAACCCTCATTGATAATAACAGAGATGTGTGAGATTGCGATGAACTGTCAGCTTTTTAGGAATTATTAAGGCAGAGCACAGTCACTTGCTTTTATGTTATAACAATGGTTTGTGTGTTAATGCCTTAATAACAAATAATTTATCAGGAGCATTTATGCTGATGTGTATGGTGGCGACACGTAGGCTAACTTAAGTATTTGAAGGTACAGAAAAAAGTATTTTTGCCGACGGGAGGGGGACGAAACATAAATGTTGCGGGCGGGAGAAGGTAACATAGAAAGTAGTTGAGAACGTCGACCCACGTATTCAAAAATAGTCGGGTATTTGTTTCCTTAATTTCCATCAAATCACTTGGATATTTAGAGCAAGAACATACAAACTTTGGCATACAGTACTAATTTAGAAGGTTTTTTTTTTTAACAAGATGGGAAAAGTTTTATTAATTCTTGTTTACTTGTGTTCATTTAATTTATTTTTATTTTAATTTATTTTTTATTTTTATAAAATTTATTTTATTTTATTTATTTTTATTTTGTAACCCATCAGCCCTCTGTGTCTAAATAAAGTAATAAAAATCCCAGAGTTAAAAAATGTTCAAACTAAACAGTTGATAATCAGCGTGGCAATGAAGACAGAAGGATCAAAGGCCTAAACGTCTCAAAGTGTCGACGCAGTGAAAGAGAATCATCTGAAATCGTCTCGCAATGGCAGAGGAAGCTTTTGGAAAAGCAGTGAAGCAGCTGAAGCAAGAGAGGACCTTGGCTAAGAGTGCATTCACCAGGCAGGCAAACTTCCTCAGCAGAGGAGCCAAAAACTTGATGAAAAGTGAACTACAAGAGGAGTTCAAAAAACTCATTTCTGAGGCAAGGAGTGTCGGCGAGACAAATGATGAGTATAGAGCTGGTTTACTGGCAGACATTGAAGCGGACATGTCAGATGGTGAAGAAGCTGAACTTGATAAGCAACAGCAGGCTGATTTCGAGAAGACAATCCATGAATGTGAGGTAAGATTGGAAGAGGTCAGAAAAATTGTCCTGTTCAACTTATGGTCAAGATATGGTAAAGATGAGATGGGAACAGCAATCCAGGAAGCAGAGACAGCCTGTGATAGAGCTGCTGCAACACCCGTTGTCGCTGTAAACAGAGATGGTTTTGAGTTCCAGCTGGATGGCGCAAAAAGAATGATCCAAGGTGTAATCACTACCCTAGCAGCTTGGGAGATGTGGATTCCAGAAGCAGAAAAATCCAGTCTGGAAACTAGAGTAAAGAATCTGAAAGGATGCAGTAGCAACCTTGAAGCACGAAAGGTGGAGTTCATCATCGCACAAAGAATAGCAGAAGAAGAAAGGGACAGAGCGAGGGTTCCCCAGATACCCATGCCAGTTCCACAACCACAACCAACGCTGAGAATAAAGCCAACCAGTCTACCCAAATTCAATGGATGTAAAAGGAATTTCCATCGATGGAGGAAAGACTGGGAAAGTCTACAAAAGCAGGGAGAACCAACTGGCTCAGCTGAAGTTAAAAAGATACAACTCTTTGACAGCATAGACGACAGGATGTGCAGAGAGCTCCGTTTGTCTACCTACAACACTGCTGAAGACATATTCCGAGTGCTTGAGAATAGATATGGAAACAAGTCCACAATTGCTTTGGAAATTATTGAAGATCTTGAGAAGATTCCTGTTTTAAGAGCAAATCAGAAAAGTCATTGATTTAATTCAAAATATAGAGAAGGCCCTGGATGACCTCACAGAACTTGGAAACACGGGAGCCATTAACAACCCTCTGGTGATCAAATCAATAGAAAGTAAGTTACCTGACAACATGAAAAGAGATTGGCTTGTCTTCATGGTTAACCCAGCAAATGGCGTAACACCGGACAATCACTTTGAGAATCTTCTTAAATTTCTGAAAACACAAGAAGAAATTCTAGAGAAGTTAGAGCAGTTGGGAGTTAGTGAAAAGCCAGAAAGGAAATATGCTTGTATGGAGAGAAGATATGCGTCCACACGTTCCACAAGGAAAGGCGGATGTGTTGTCTGTGGAGATGAAAAGCATGGAGAAAAGATCTTCTTTTGCAAGCGTTTCAAAGAACTGAAGCCTGTGGAAAAGTTGGCTGCTGTAGAAAAGCTAGGGGCATGCAAAAGGTGTTTAATCTGTCATGGTGAAGATGATGAATGCAAAGATACTTACCTGTGCAGGAACAGAGACTGTAAAAGAGATCATCACTTCTTTCTTTGTCTGAAGGGAGATTTTAAGAGAACTGACTCAGACAGAAGACAATCCCATGTGAGAAGGCATAAGCTTACGGAGGAGCAAGAGGAATTTGTGTCTAAGCTCTCCCCAGAGATGGCAGAGAAATTCAAGAAAGCATTCACTAACATCACTGGGAAGACAAACTGTGGTGAGAAGAGTCAGCTTGGAGTGACTGATTCAAGTGCTATAAAAGAATTGCCAGTTATACTAATGCTGCTCGAGGTAACTGCTAATGCAGGAGAAAAGATTGGGACTCTGAT